TTATTTTTCTAAGAGAAATTCTCAACTTTATTAATTGATTCTATTTACCATTTATTTCAATTTTTAAAAAAAAGTTTAATTTTTGAAAGTAAATAATTTGAAATTATACCAAAATTATTATCTTATCAACAAAAATTTTTAATGAAAAAAGAATATATAAAAAAATTTTTTGCTATTTTAACTTAATTTATTATTCAATTTTTAATTATTTATTATTCATTTTTTATTATTAGATTTTTTTTTTTTTCATTTTTTGCTATTAACAATTAAAATTGATAAAAAATTATTTTCTTCTTTCTTTATTCATTTAACTCATCATTTTATTTTTCAACTTTTAGTTTTATTTTTCAATAATTTATCTTATTATTTCATATTTTTTCTTAATTTTTTCCTTCTAATTAACAAATTATTTAAATATTTTTTCTTCTATATTTAAAAAGTCGAAATTAAATTGGAGCAATGGGTGCTTTAGATTTAGGTTCTGCTTTAGCAAATTGCATTAATCTCTCAAATTTGACACTTAATCTTAAGTAAAAACAGTTTATTTATTTTGGATTGTGATATTTTTTAATTATAAAACTAATTTAAAATAATAAACTATATTTTCTTTTTGTTTTTATTGTGCTTGCTTGCTTGCTTTTTTTTCTTCTTTCTTTGTTTAATTTAAATCATAATTTTATATTAATCTTTCGTTTTTATTTTTAATTAATCTGATCATTTGATAATTTTTCTTCATTTTTTCCTTCTAATTATTTTATTAATTATATATTTTTTCTTCAAATTTAAAAAGTTCTAATAAAATTGGTGATAAAGGTGCATCAGGCTTAAGTTCTGCTTTAGCAAAGTGCATCAATCTCTCAGATTTGACACTTTATCTTGAGTAAAAACATTTTATTTATTTTGGGTGGTGAAATTTTTAATTATAAAATCTAATTAAAAAAAATAATGATCTATTTTCTTTTTTTTTATTGTGCTTGCTTACTTTTTTTTCTTTTTTCTTTGTTAATTTAACATTTCATCATTTTATTTTCAACTTTTGCTTTGATTTTTCATTAATCTGATTATTTAATATTTTTACTTAATTTTTTCCTTCTAATTATCTTATTAATTATATATTTTATCTTCAATATTTAAAAAGAGAAAATTAAATTGGTGATGAAGGTGCATTAGAAATAGGTTCTGGTTTAGCAAATTGCATTAATATCTAAAATCTGAAACTTAATCTTGAGTAAAAACCGTTTATTTATTTTGGATTGTGATATTTTTAATTAATTATAAAAACTAATTTAAAACAATAAATCTCTTTTTTCTTTTTGTCTTTATTGTGCTTGCTTGCTTTTTTTTCTTTCTTTTTTGTTAATTTATATTTTCAACTTTTGCTTTTATTTTTTATTAATCTGATTATTTGATATTTTTTTTTCATCTTTTCCTTCTAATTAACTAATTAATTAATTAAATATTTTTTTTCAATATGGAAAAAGATAAAATCAAATTGGTGCAATGGGTGCATCATACTTAGGTTCTGCTTTAGCAAATTGCACTAATCTCTCAAAGTTGACACTTTATCTTTAGTAAAAACAGTTTTTTTATTTTAGATTGTGATATTTTTAATTATAAAAACTAATTTAAAATAATAAATCTCTTTTTTCTTTTTTTTTTTATTGTGTTTGCTTGCTTTTTTTTTCTTCTTTCTATGTTAATTTAACAAGTCATCATTTTATTTTTAACTTTTTCTTTTATTTTTGAATAATTTTATTATTTCATATTTATTCTTCATTTTTTCTTTTTAATTAACTAATTTTTCATTTATTCTTCAATATTTAAAAAGTCGAAATTAAATTTGTGATATGGGTGCATCAAGCTTAGGTTCTGCTTTATCAAATTGTATTAATCTCTCAAATTTGACACTTGATCTTTAGTAAAAACAGTTTATTTATTTTTGATTGTGATATTTTAAATATAAAAACAAATATAAAATATTAAAATTCTTTTTTCTTTTTCTTTTTATTGTGCTTGTTTGATTTTTTTTCTTCTTTCTTTGTTAATTTAACTTATCATTTAATTTTCAATTCGCTTTTATATTTCATTAATCTGATTATTTCATAGTTATTCTTCATTTTTTCTTTCTAATTAGCTAATTAATTAGATATTTTTTCTACAATATTTAAAAAGCGGTAATTATATTGGTGATGAAGGTGCATCAGGCTTAGGTTCTGCTTTAGCAAATTATTTTAATATCTTAAATTTGACACTTATTGTTAGGTAAAAAGAGTTTAATTATTTTAGATAGTGATATTTTTATTTATAAAAATTAATTTAAAACAATAAAACTCTTTTTTCTTTTTATTTGATTTTTTCTTCCTTTTTTGTTAATTTAACTCATAATTTTTTTTTTCAACTTTTGCTTTTATTTTTCATTATTCTGATAATTTGATATTTTTTCTTCATTTATTCCTTCTAATTATCTAATTAATTATATTTTTTATTTTGCTATATTTAAAAAGCTAGAATAACATTGGTGCAATGGGTGCATCAGGCTTAGGTTCTGCTTTGGCAAATTGTATTAATCTCTCAGATTTGACGCTTGATCTTTTGTAAAAACATCTTAAAAACAAGAAAGCTCTTTTTTCTTTTTATTTTTATTGTGTTTGCTTGATTTTTTTTTTGTTTCTTTGTTAATTTAACAACTCATCACTTTATTTTTAACTTTTGCTTTTATTTTTCATTTTTGTTATTATTTCATAATTTTTCTTCATTTTTTCCTTCTAATTAACTAATTAATTATATATTTTTTCTTCAATATTTAAAAAGAAAAAATTAAATTGGTGATGAAGGTGCATTAAGCTTAAGTTATGGTTTAGCAAACTGCGTTAATCTCTCAAATTTGACACTTAATCTTTAGTAAAAACAGTTTATTTATTTATATATATAGTACCCTAAGGTACTGCCTTTTTCAAGGATACATACACGAATACTAATAAGAATTATATAATTAATTTTTTTTCTTTTTAATTGTTAATGTTTTAGTGTTTTACTTTTTTTTCACCTGGATTTTGGTGTTTATTTATTTTTTTTAATTATTTATTTATTTATTATTGATTTTTGGGTTGTGATATTTTTAATTATAAAAAAAATTTAAAACAATAAAGCTCTTTTTTATTTTTCTTTCTATTGTGCTTGATTGCTTTTTCTTCTTCTTTCTTTGTTATTTTAACTCATCATTTAATTTTCAACCTTTGCTTTTATTTTTCAAGTTATTCTTCATTTTTACTTCTTTCTAATTATATATTTTTTCCTAAATATTTAAAAAGTGGTAATTAAATTGGTGCAAAGGGTGCATCAGGCTTAGGTTCCTCTTTAGCAAAGTGCATTAATCTCTCAAATTTGGAACTTTATCTTGGGTAAAAACAGTTTATTTATTTTTGATTGTGATATTTTCAATTTTAAAAACTAATTTAAAACAATAAAGCTCTTATTTGTCCTACTTTGTATTTTACTGTTTTGCTTTTTTTCTCCCTTTTTTGTTAAAATAACTCATCATTTTATTTTCAACTTTTGCTTTTATTTTTCATTAATCTGGTTATTTCATATTTTAATTCTTTCCTTTTAGTTAGCTAATTAATTAATTATATATTTTTTCTTTATTTTTAAAAAAGTTACAATGAAATTGGTAATGAAGATGCATTAAACTTATGTTCTGGTTTAGCAAATTGCATTAATCTCTCAAATTTGACACTTAATCTTCTGTAAAAACAGTTTAATTATTTTGTATTGTGATATTTTTAATTATAAAAACTAATTTAAAACAATAAAGCTCTATTTTCTTTTTGTTTTTATTGTGCTTGCTTGCTTTTTTTCTTCTTTCTTTGTTTATTTAACTCATCATTTTATTTTCAACTTTTGCCTTAATTTTCTTATAATTTCATATTTTTTCTTCATTTATTCCTTCTAATTATCTAATTAATTATATTTTTTATTTTACTATATAAGTTAGAATGATATTGGTGCAATGGGTGCATCAGGCTTAGGTTCTGCTTTAGCAAATTGCATTAATCTCTCAAATTTGATACTTAAACTTGGGTAAAAACAGTTTATTTATTTTGGATTGTGATATTTTTAATTATAAAAACTAACTTAAAACATTAAATATCTTTTTTCTTTTTATTGTACTTGCTTGATTTTTTTTCTTCTTTGATTGTTATTTTACTTCTAATTTTATTTTGAACTTTTGCTTTTATTTTTCATTAGTCTTATTATTTCATATTTTTTCTTCATTCTTTCTTTGTAGTTAGCTAATTAATTAATTAAATATATTTTCTTCAATATTAAAAAAGTTACAATGAAATTGGTGATGAAGGTGCATCAGGCTTAGGTTCTGCTTTAGCAAACTGCAATAATCTCTCAAATTTAACACTTCATCTTTAGTAAAAACAATTTAATTATTTTAGATTGTGATATTTTTAATTATAAAAAAAATTTAAAACAATAAAGCTCATTTTTCTTTCTATTGTGCTTGCTTGCTTTTTTTTCTTCTTTCTTTGTTATTTTAACTCATCATTTAATTTTCAACTTTTGTTTTAATTTTCTTATTATTCCATTTTTTTTTCTTTCCAATTAATTATATATTTTTTCTTCAATATTTAAAAAGTGACAGTAAAATCAGTGCAATAGGTGCATCAGGGTTATGTTCTGCTTTAGCAAATTGCAGTAATCTCTCTAATTTGACACTTTATCTTAAGTAAAAACATTTTATTTATTTTGGGTTGTGAAATTTTTAATTATAAAAACAAATTTAAAACAATAAATCTCTTTTTTTTTCTTTTTATTATGCTTACTTGCTTTTTTTTCTTGTTTGTTTCTTATTTAATTACAATTTTTTGCTTTTATTTTTCATTAATCTTATAATTTCATTTTTTATCTTTATTTTTTCCTTCTAATTATATATTTATTCTTCAATATTTAAAAAGTAGTAATTAAATTGGTGATGAAGGTGCATTAGGCTTAGGTAATGCTTTAGCAAATAGTATTAAACTCTCAAATTTGATACTTAAACTTGGGTAAAAACTGTTTATTTATTTTGGATTCTTTTTGTTTTTATTGTACTTGCATTTTTTTCTTCTTTCTTTGTTAATTTAACAATTCATCATTTTATTTTCAACTTTTGTTTTTATTTTTTATTAATCTGATTATTTCATATTTTTTCTTCATTTTTTCCTTCTAATTATTTAACTAATTAACTAATAAATTAATGATATATTTTTTCTTCAATATTTAATAAGTTCCAATAAAATTGGTGATGAAGGTGCATCAGGCTTAGGTTCTGCTTTAGCAAAGTGCATTAACCTCTCAAATTTGGTACTTTTTCTGGAGTAAAAATAGTTTATTTATTTTGGATTGTGAAATTTTTAATTCTAAAAAACTAAATTAAAACAATAAATATCTTTTTTCTATTTGTTTTTATTGTGCCTTCTTGCTTTTTTTTGTTCTTTTTTTGTTAATTTAACTCATAATTTTTTTTTTCAACTTTTGCTTTTATTTTTCCTTAATCTGATTATTTCATATTTTTTCTTCATTTTTTCCTTCTAACTAAGTAATTAAATATATATTTTTTCTTCAATATCTAAAAAGAAAAAATTAAATTAGTGATGAAGGCGCATCAAGTTTAGGTTCTGCTTTAGCAAATTGTATTAATCTCTCAAATTTGATACTTGATTTTTAGTAAAAAAAACATATTTATTTATTTATTAATTTAAGAAATAAATTTTAATTTAAAAGTTACTTTTTTTTAAAACAAAAATTTATAATAAAAGTGATAACTAAATGAATCAATAATAAAACTTCAAAGTAAAAAGCAAGTGTCTTAAATCAAAAAGATTAGTTGTCTTTAGAATATCATTCTGATGATAAAAAAGTAATGAAA